CACCTCATAAACTATCCATCCAACCAGATCTAAGAATTACCAGGATTTTAAACACAAAGGATTCCCCTATGTAAAAGAAAGATTTTTTTTTTTTTTGTCTAGTCAGTACAATATTTTTATATGTTTTTTTTAAGCCATTCTATGTGTGGGAATTAATTCCAGGCAATTTTGGGAAAAGGACATGCAAAATACATGATGCATAACCACTGAGAAATCTGTAGTTGTCTTCTGTTTGAGCCTCTAAATTTCTCCACATTGATCAAGCCCAGCTGGAGTGTACTGTTCTTAACACCTCCAGCTGAGCAAGGCATGATGATATTGTCCACTCTGTTTTTGACAAACACTGCATTTTGTTTGTCCATTTTGTGGTACTGTTTATTCCTTTACTGGTCTTTTTTCTCTTCCATCACTTAATCAATGAATTTTCTGTTACCTTACCTGAAGCTGCTATATGGTATTCCCTCCTTCAGTCAAATCTGCTTCCCCTCACCCACTATGTCTACTGAAACTTTATGATCTTCTGTACAAATCTTTCCACACCCTTCACTGATTTGCCATTTCTGAACATTATTTTAAATCATTTTGTTCACATCCAGCATGAAATGAGTTCTGCTGGCAGAAAGACACAGCAGCTTTACTGAACGTGCTCAGGTTACTTGAGACTACTTGGTAACAAAGGAATTGCAATTTGTGATAGGCAATGCTTTCAGATGTTAAGCCTAGGAAAGCCACGGGGCAGAAAAGTCCTTCCTAAAGGCACATTACCTTCTGTTTATCATTGGCCTGGAACACTATCTTTCCGGGATAACAACGAACCTGCTTTGCTTTTAGCACAGTCTCAGTGCAATTTGGCACGGTATTCCTTACACATTAAAAAAAAAAAAAAAAAAAAAAGAAAAAAAAAAAAAGAAGTTTTATTTATTTGTTTTAATTTAGAAGATAAAAATTCAGCATCCTTCATAGAAAAATTCTTTATGCTGTAGACTTATAGATAGGAAAAGACAATGAAGTATATCTTATTATATTCAGTGTTTATTTTTACATTGAAAACTATTGCTATTTCTTGCTGATAATTTTGCCGGTAACAACAGGGTAAAAATGCTTTATTACACAAATTATATACTTCTAGCACAGTGTTTTAAAATGAAAATTACCTGCACAAAGGAGGCTTTCAGTCAGTCTGTGTAGGCAGCTGGAAATTGGTTTGAATGCATGCAGCTAATGGTCACAGCAATTTGCATGGGAGCAGGTTTAGTATAAATCTAGGCACTGTTTACTTTAGTCATGCTTTCATAAATATTAGACATGAGGAATGGAAAAATTCTATACTAAATAGTGAATAAAATCAAAAGGCATTTTTTAGAATTCTAGAGTCAATTATCTAATGAACTAATGTGTTTTGATGAGATATGGCACCTTAATTCCCTTTAAAAACAGAAAAAACCCCTAAGGCAATATTTTTTTCAATCTTCAAGTGCTAACACTTATTAGTAATAGTTTAATATTCCTCCTGACATCAATGGGAGGAAAAAGTGTGAGGAAATACTAAGACTGAAGGCAAATAAATGCCTTGTATAATTATTCTATTCTTAGAATATTGCATTACAATAAGTAGATTAAGCTTTTCAATGCTAATAGCTAAGACAACCTCCATCATAAAACTTCCTTCATCTGAAGCCATCAGATATGACATTTACTCTCTCTGTTTAGCTAGGAGGAGTGTTGTTATAAAATGTCTGAGGTCAACTGGTTTCTTTTTGCTCAAGTGTAGCTCTTGCACAGATGGTTGAGAAGGTGCAGAATATTATAGTAATCCTGTATTTAATTGTTTCTGTATGTCATGGAATTTAAAGAGAATTTAGAATGTGTTTGGCAGTAGCTTTCCCTACATAATCAGGTTGCTATGGTAAACCTATTATTCTATACAAAGAAAGAGCATGTTTGGTAAAGTGCTGATCTTTTTCAGTATAAATGTGAGCTTCAAATTACTTTTGAATGATTGAATTTGTTTGGTAAGTGTTCTATCACAATAACTAAGAGAAGAAGGCCACATAATAAGGTGTGGCTTCTGATATTTCAGTAGTAGATACATTCTATGTAGTTAGGTGTTCAGAATCAATAGAACATTAATTCTCAGTTAAACTATCTCCTCAGAGTGAGCCTACCTTACACAATCTAACCAAAATCTCAGTACTTTTGGAGGCAAAATATAATTTTGAAGCCAGTAAAAAGTTGCAATTATTAAGTGCCACCACTAAATTAATCTTATTTCTAGTGCTTATCTTGTAACATATGAAAAAGTAAAGGAATGATAAACTAATAACTTGTGTATCAATTTCAGCAGTCGTGTACTAAGCTACTATAACTGTATTTTGTATATTTAAAAGTAAAGAAATAGTTCAGAGAAACCAGAAATCCTTTTCTAGAGCACTTGCTGACTGAGGTTTTTGTCTATTTTCAAGACACTTTCAGTTCTGCTGACGTGTGCAGTCAGATGATCTAAACTATATTCTGAACTTAGATGGGAGCCAGGCAAAATAAAATATGGGGCACAGATATTAACAAGGAATTCAGGCTTTTTGAATATATGTATTTGTGCTTTGTTCATTAGCTGAGAAGACTGAGAAAGTAAGACCTAAATTACCTTTGAGCTTGTATCTCTTACCTGACAAAAATGTGCCCTATCTGTCTGGGAATGGGCATCCCTCCATTTTTCTGCTGGGGAAACTGTTGCACATTAAATAAAATGAATAAATATTACTTGCAGCAGAGACTGAGAGGAGCCTGTTCCTACTGCAGTGTAAGAGACCACTGGGCTCTCAGGTCATTCTGACTTATTAAATTAAGCATTACAGAAGATAATGCTTAATTACAGAACTTGCAGAATGCTTATTATAGGGCCTTCCTTTGCTCATTCCTCTGGAGGATTTTCCATCTCTGATGACTCCTCTCATCAAAAAAACTTTCGCTTGAACTGATTTGATTATCCTTCAGGCATCCTCTTATTATAGCAATAGTCACCCAGGATACCGTTGCTAAAGACTCTTTTTTGTTTATTTTATAGAGTTTTCACAAAGGGTGGGTCCTGTTCATCAGGTACTTCCCTGCCTATGGGTGAATGACTGTTCTTTGGGACACCATGATGTGACATATTTGTAAAAACAACCATGTTGTCTAAGATGGATGCATAGAAAGAGACTAAGAGAGCCCTAAATAGTGACAAATTAGACTCATTAAAATTCTCTGTATATTTAAGTACTAAGGATTTTTGTTTTTAATTTCTAAAGTACCTGTCCTTGACAAATATTTACAGCTAAGAGAATGCAGACAAATAACATCAATTTTTCTGCATACAATCATATCTTAATTTTTGACATGATTACTAAGCACAACTGTATTTAGTGATGTGGTAGATGCACTTCCTATAAGAAGCTTCTTTCTGGAATTAATATCCCCGTATTATTACCAATACATCACAGTTTTTAAACTATGTATATCATAAAGTTATCATGAAGTATTTGCTCTAATTCTCTTTATTAGCATGACTTTTTAAAAATTCTTGCACTTTATGTCCTTCTAGATTGAATCTTGGCATATAGAAAGTCAGCTCTAAAATGTATTTTAGGCTTGGAGCAGATATAAAATGAACTAAGAATTTTTTTCCATAAGTAATAAGATCCCCCATTACTCCAGCTTAATTAGACTATTAAAAGCAAACAAACAAACACCCAAGTAGAACCAAAACAAAACAAAATACGCCAAACAAATACAACAAATTTACTTTAGGAGAAAAAATATTAAGAATTATCTGCCCTTATGTTAACCTAAAAGTTTTTATTGTCACAAAACCTACAGTTAGAAAACCTTCACTAAGGTTTTCATTCAGTAAAATATTTCAGAAAGTGCTACAAGAATTTAGTGCAGTGTGTGGTTAACTGTCTGGTTACATAATGAAAGGCTGTGCTTGGAGAATTGTTTTTTAGTTTCTAGCAATATTTACTTCTGCTGTAAATTTGGGTTCAGTCAGTAGAGCAGTGGGCAGGCTCAGGTTGAGACTCACTGATGCTGTGGTTAAGTTAAATCAAGAAGAACAGACTTTTCTGCATCGTAATCCATGTCTCTGATGGCTCTTTTTAACACACAGTATTCTTTCCCATTAAATGTATTACTTTGGTCCATGGTTTGAGTCATATTTAGAACATTCTCACACCAGTATTGCATTAAAACAATTTAAAAACTTACAGAGGCAAACTCTTAGAAGTTAGGGCCAATGTTACCTGAAATGAGTTTGTCTCAGATATGTACAATGTAAGACTGTCCTTGATATTAATTTTTTTCATGCCTGACTATTTAGTACTTTCAGCTCTGAGGGTTTTGGAGTGGAAAATCTGTTGGAGCTTGGATAAACCCACTGTCCCTTTAAGCTCTGAGGAGCGCTTCTGTAAATAGGTTGATGGGAGACACTGAGAGAGGTTGTGCTTTTGACTTCTGTTTCCTGAGATCTAGACAAGAAAAATTATAGGCATTTTTGCTTTCAAAATGCTTGACAGAGTATTTGATGAATTATGTTTCTACGTGGAGAGTATCTTAGATAACCCTGTGCAGACACTAAATCTGATCATATTAATATTGGAGTTTCTGAGGTATGTGGTAAATATTTTAGATCAATTATAGAGGTTAATAATGCAGATAAGCACGCATCATAGCTCAGTTATACGAAGTTCAGGTATGAAAAGCATGCAATGCCAATGATTCCATCCTGTTGCTGTTTCCACTAAGATATAATAGTGACATATTGTCCTTCTGGTTGCCATGGAGGAGGAATAGCTTTGGTTTGCTATGTTTCTGTTTGGGTTTTTAAAATCATGTTTATGTGCATACTTAAATGAAGACAGAGTGACTTGTAGTTTGTCTTTGGGGGGTAGGGTGTAGAACAAATTTAGGTTTTCATTTAATTTATTTTACTTCACTGAAATCATAACTCTTGTTTATTCTCACAGGGAGATGTGAATGTGGCCAATGCACTTGTTTCCCTCCAGGAGACAACAGAGTTCATGGCAAAAACTGTGAATGTGATGATCGACAGTGTGAAAATGCAGAAGGAGATGTTTGTGGGGGTATGTGTTCACTAAATGAAAATAACAGCATAACATAAAATAACATAACTAAATCTTGACAGTTTATAACTTTCTGTTCCCCTTGATTTTATAACATAATGTCACTATAGAATATTGACATCATTGATTGTTAATAACAGATTACAGATTTTTGTAAGAAACAATCTCTAGAAATACTGAATATGTTAGTGTATATTTAAGACTTCAGAAACACTAACACTAAAGTCAATTAAATACAATTAGTGGCGTAAATGTAAGTGCTGTAGTATATCCAAATTCCATCAATGTCTATTAGAGAAGAATACAAACACTTGAAGAAGAACCAGAAATATTAGGTAATTTTACTTTGTGTTTGGTACAGCTGATGTTTCATTACATTGTAACATACCTAAAAGTATTAAGGATTAGAAAAATTTTAAATGTTTCATAGTCACTGACAGTGATATGCCTGTTTTCTAAAAAAGTTGTAAAATATATAGTGAAAGACTCTAAAATGCTTGAGAGACAGTGTCATAGTAATTGTAGATGCAGATGGTTTATTTTAATGTTGACCAAGAAAACCTCACTCAGGTAGTTTTAGATATGTAAATGTATATATGCCATATGGTACTTCAAAAGTAGGTTCAGTTAACTGCTCTCGTTCTAGATGTTACTGACTTATTTTTAAAATGATTCTTTGATTCTAAATATTCATAAAGTAGTTGGTATGAGCAATGACAAACTGTATTATATTCCTTATTTCTGTGTAAGAAGAAAACATACTGTTTCATGATCCTTGTGTACATTAACAATTTTGACTACAGAGAATATTTCTTCAAGGTGTCTTCCATGCAGAATGTAGACATATATAGAAAATTGTGATTTGAATATCTAAACAACCATAATAATAATTTATAATCTGGTAATATGAATGCCTAGGAAAAGAATAAGTTTGAAATTTAATTTTGTGTAAAGAACATAAAAGTGCAGAAAAGCACTGAAAAGCTGTGTCATATTTATTATAAACTAAATAGTTGGGAAACAAAATTCATTATCATCCATGCTTAAAAAAAAATCTCTTCTGTTAATATCACTCATATTTTACATTATTCAACAACATTGCTTCAATGTTCATATTGTTAATAATATTGCACATTTTGGAAAATACGGACAAGAATTCCATTCTTCATTCTTAGGAGAGATAAAGAGATAATTTTGATTTTTCGTGCTGGCTAGAGCACCTCACACTCAAATGAATAATCACCTCAATATCTGAGCCAGTGTCCAATTTTCTACTGTGCAGGAGACACTCTAGGTCACACTTTTACCTGAACAAAGTCTCTCAAGTCTAAACTGCTTTGTCCAGAGAGAACAGAAGAAATGAATGAATGAATTATTCTAAATCAAAATGTTTTAAGCTTATTTTCCTAATTTTGGAGCAACAAATGCAAAAGAGAGCCAGGTTATTTTCACAATATTGGTATTTAATTTCTTCTTCTATTATATTTGTAAATATAATTTTAGATCTTTACAGTTTATTCTAGATTTGGTTGTAATTTACTCCTTGAAGTATGTTCTTATGTTGTTGTTTTTGGATTATTTCATTATTTCTTTTGTTCTTTTACAGACAAGAAGTGGTTTCCCCTTCCTCTGGTTCTGTTTTCATGCCACAGAAATGTTTTCTCATTTGTGCTTTTTTGGTTCTTTCATATGAAGTGTGCTGAGATTCAAATTAATCATGCAGCTCTCTTCCATGCATCAGTTTTCCTTCTCTTGGCTGCTGGAGATCTGAAATGCTTCCTTCTCTCATTTATTCTCTCTCTCTCTCTCTTTCTTTCCTTAATGTTTTTTTTTTAATTCTTTTTACTTTTTCTTCTTTTTTTTTTTTTTTTTTGCTGCTGTCAGATCCCGAAACATTATTTTTTTGATCATCCAGTGTCCGTCTGTGCTTCTAATCCACCTACCTCAAGAGGCCACCCTACAACCCAATAACTTAGAGGTTTATTACACCTCTTACACTACTTAGGTAGAAGCACTAAGTACAGAAATGCTTATCTTCAGAGGGCCCCATCAATTGCAGCTTTCTGTTCACTCGCCATTTAGCAAGTGAGCTCCCCTCACCTTCTCTCACCTTCCCTCACCTTCAAACTCATAATATGAACCATTTACTCATTATGCATTTTCTGTCACTTCGTCTTTCCTGCCGTTTCATTGAAATGTCTGTTTCCATAGTTTGTGACCAAATGTAGGAATTTCTGTCACTGTTTTCCTTTTCAGATCATCAAGAGCCTCTGATATTACTGATAGCTTTCACTCTGCTCTTTAGTAATAATCAGATGTTTTTCTTAGCTATCCCTTTCTTTCTTGATAACATTTTGAACATTTCCTGTAGTATACCATAGTTCACCTATCTCCCTTTTTAGGATACTCTACCAATTTTAACCTTATTTTCTTTCTTCTTTTGCAACTTATCTATTCACAGATTTTCTCTCATTAATTTTGCACTAATAGCAAACACATCTCACTCTCCTCCTTTTGGGTTTGTCCACGCTTCTATCTCAGTCTGAACTTCTTGACACCTCTTGCTGACTGCTTATTTCTTCCTCTTTCCTCGTCCTCTTTTCATTGCTATTTTTCTACCCCTCTTGCTACCTAGGCAATCACTGTCAGTACATAAGCTCTTGATACTAAATCTGTCTTTGGAGCATTATAAGCTGGACTCTGTGAATGTGCAGGGTCTGATAGTGAGCGCTGAGTGCTGGTAAGCACAAAGAAGGAGGGCCAGTGTTTTCAGACTGAATGTGTGCTGAAATGAGAAGCATGAATGACAACCTAAATGATTTGAATAAGAATTGTTACTGGCTTCCTCTGACCATCAGAGATTGATTAATAGCTTGCTTTCCAGACCAGCTGCCCATGCAACAGTAGAAAGACATGAGGCGAAAGATATGATGAATTAGGGTACAACCAAGTAAGACCCTATTACCATGTTTCTGCATGATTGTAGTGAGTCATTCCCTTAAAAATTCATCTGTCCATCAGTGCAGTACCAGGAATAGAGACACTATGTCTCCACAAAGGCAGAGGTTGCAGGAGGACTCGGCATAGATTTCACTATAGCACTCTGCTATTAGAAATTGATTCATATAGTTATGGAATCACAGAATGATTTGGGTTGGAAGGGACCTTTAAAGATCATTTAGTCCAATCCCTCCCTGACATGGTCAGGGAACCTTTCACTAGATCAGGTTGGTCAGAACCCCATCCACCCTGGACTTGAACATTTTCAGGCATCTCTCAGAAATCTGTTCCAGTGTCTCAACATCCGAATCATAAAAAAATCTCTTCCTTATGTCCAAGATAAACTTACTATCTTTCAGTTTAAAATTAGTACCCCTTCTCCTGTCACTACAGACCTTGGAGCGTGTCTCTCTCTCTTTCTTATATTCCCCCTTTATAATACTGAAAGGGCACAGTAAGGTCTCCCCAGAGCCTTCCCTTCTCCAGGCTAAACAATCTCAACTCTCTCATCCATTCCTCATGAGAGAGGTGATCCATCCCTTTGACCCTTCTCTGGACCTCCTCCAACAGGTCCGTCCATGTTTTTCTTGTATTGGGGAACCCAGAGCTGGATGCATTACTTCAGCTGGGGTCTTGTCAGAGTGGAATGGGGGGGGAGACTCACCTTCCTTGGCCTGCTTTCCAGATCCTTCCTTTGTGTTCTCTTTCCTTTGTCTGGGCCTCTGTACAGAGACTTATTATGTGATAGCTGGAGGAGATGTCTCATGCAGCTTTTTTGAGATAGGTATGTTCCACCTAAAAGCCCGTTCTGCACAGTTCAGTTTTTTTCAATTATGTAAGATTTTTCCAGGTATATTGCAGTGCTGATCCAGTGCTGATCCACAGAAATATTTAACATCACATTTTCTTTGGCTTTACTTGGTTCTTTGAGTCTTTCATGTGCAAGTGAAGTGGTTTTGATGCACACGTATGACCAGAGAATGACAGGTTTGTCAACACAAGTTCTTTTGTGGCAAGGCTATGCCACTGATGTACACCAGGCTTGATATTTATTTGTCCTGTATCCTGGTAAGAGATACTTTTCTTTACCGTCTGAGGTTATGGCTGTGCTGCTCACTGCAGATGTGTCCTGAGCTTTCAAGTGTTATTTATTCCCCTACTGTGTCCGATCATGTTTTCGAGTGATACCATCATTGGCTGCTCCACCTCACTGGGTTGACTGCTGTCCCTTATGTTCTGTTCTCTTTTAGGATTGAGAGCAGGCAGACAACAAGAGCTCAGAACAACAGTAAAGATCAATTTGAAATTGATTTGATAATGCTCTTAACTTCATTCACTTTGATTTGTTCTCTGGACAATTATTGGCCTGGGTGTGAGTTCTTGTCATGGAAAAGTAGCAACCCTTAAAGGAATAAAACAAAAGCCCTTTTTGGTCCCCTGGATGCTACAAGTCCTGTAAGATTAAGCTGATTAAAAACTCTACAATAAAAGCAAACTCAACAAAAATAGAAAAAGTGGATTGAAGATCCACACAAATTCATCACTAGAACCACTAGCAAAGATTTAGACTCATAACAGGTAACTCATAACAAGCCTCTTGCATATTTCTAGGGATGCTTCAACTTTGTATTATGTAAGTATATCATTCTGTGCTTCAAATAGTGGGCCACCAATTAGAAAATCAGCTTTGATGAGACCTTTTAATGTTTACGTATAAATGTTTGCACTGTTCTCAACACTAAGAAACAACGAAGAGTCTGATCATCCTGGTAAACCAGTTCTTTGATTAGTTTTGGTAATGGAATCCCTTGAGAAGTCTGATTTCTTTATTTCCAAGTGAAAAAATCCACTTTGGTGACTTTTAAGCTGTTTGTTTTGGCCACAGCACGTCAAAATACAATCTTTGTCAAAATACAATCCTAACGCTGTAGAAAATCCAGTTGTATAATGTTATGCCACATCAAAGAGTTTTATTTGTTTATACCAATGCCCTTTGGTAA